TTCTCTTATCTAAATATATGACAGTTGCTTCTGCCTTTCAGATTACGAAAGTTTTATTCTGATTGCATTATAGTCTATGGCAATGTTCCCGATAACTTCAATGGTGCAGGATAAAACCCTAACCTTTCCCCTTAATTTTTTACCATGTTTTCTCCAGATAATCTGGTTATATTCTGAATATCAACCCTTTTTTGTCAAATTGAATCCTGCTTATCCCCTCCTGTAGCCAACACATGGAATTATGGCATTTAAAACTCTTGCCTTCTTATGAGAGATGCTTATAGCACTGTAACACAGAGTCATTATTTTCCAGTAATAACTGTCATATTCAGCCATTTAAGGCACTCAGTCATTTATTATTCATAAAAATACAGTGATTTAAAACACATGGCATTGACTGAGACAGTGTTCATCAAATGCAAGTTCAACAGATACTATTTATTTTTCCAGATCATAAAATGTTTTGGGTGACATCTTGGCTTCCCAGAAGTCATTATGTCTTTCTGTTGGCTTGAATGGTGTCCACAATTTCATTCTCTTCCTCCACGGAAGCCATTCTTTGGGGAAGGAAAGGTTAATATAGAAAAGCAGAAACATAAATACTTGCATCTTTAGGAATCAAGTAAATAAATGGTAACCAATTATATTTAATTAAGCTGAATGTAGTCTGTCATTTGTTATCTGGTCAGGACACAAGGTTGATATTCATAAATTAATAAAAAGTGCAAGTAGATTTTTAAAATTAACAAAGAACCAGAACTTTTTATATTTAATCTAGAAAAATGGGACCTCCAAACACACAGCATCCTTAACAATATGCTGAGCTTTGGGGATGGAACTGGTTCAGTTGGAAGAATGAGACACTCACCACTTTTTGTGACCAACTACATAATACCACTTTAATCTCTTGGAGGTTTTCACACTTAATGATTTTGCTACATAAAAGAGCTTTATGAATTTGTGAAAAAGCCATCATCTCCAAATTTTTTTGAAAATAAATAGTTTTTGGGTATGTAAAATGAAGATGGGCAGATTTACAAAGCCAAATGTATGAAGTGCTTGTTTTTCAAAGCAAAGCAACTACTTTGTTGGTACTGCTTTTTAATTCAGTTTGTTTTTCTTTTATACTCACACTCAACAGAAAATATACTTTTTGCCATTTTACAAAGTCCAATTCAAGGCTAAAGATGAGAAATTGTTCTTCTGCATCACTTAAGCAAAAGAGGGTTCAGCTTCAATGGAACTTATGTGACCTGGCAGGGGCAGCAGAATAATTTAGAATGCAGATTTTAGAGAGGACTTCTTAAAGGGAATATACCTAGGAACTCTAAAAATGTTAATGACAAGTTCTTCATTCCAAACCACTAGTGACATTGTGAGGCAAAACCTTTGCATTTTGATCCAGCAAGGTCAGCATATACATTCTCTTTATACCATGCATTTTTCCCCCTTTCTGGAAGTAGAGTCTGAGAAATTATTATGCTCTTATGGATATAGCTTTTAAAAAATGTCTTATTGCAGTTCTTATGTAAAAAAGAATCTTTCCTAATAATTCACTTTGTCCAGTTCTGAGAAACCAACTCTTAATATCTAGTTATTGTTCTGCAGTCTGCAAAGCTTTTCAGTCTGTATGCCTTTATATTTATCGTCCACGAGTGATTAGGGCTATTCATTAAGAGAAGTGTCTATATTACTTTGACAAAAAGGTGATAACCTTGCCTTCCTCTGGCCCAGCTATTTATTAATGACTCCCAGATACCATTTTCCAGCTCTATGCACTGCAGTATTTTAATTTGATGATACAAATTAGATGGTACAAGTGTCCTTACTCCATGCTCACACCTTTCATTGATATCAATGTCAGCCTGAATTCTGCATGTGATCTCAGGGTCTAAACTATCAGTAGCCACTTCTATTATAATATTTGCAGTTCAACAGAATGGCAAGCTCTTTGACGGTTGCTGGTAGAGGGATAACCTTTGGGCTTGATTCCAAAAATTGCTGACTGTTTCATGTAAGATGCTCAGCTTTGGACATTCAGCAACTTCTAGGAATTGCTCAATAGCCTCTTCAGTGAGACCCTCTGTTTTATGTTTTCTAAGCTTGGGGCTTTCAGCCCTCTGGGGATGAAGTTCTGTGGAATTAACCTTGTCTTCATCAGTGTTGGAGATATGCAGAGGAAGACACTACCACCTAAGTCAATTTAAAAAAAATAATTACAGATGGTCAAATATGTTCAGTTGAAAGTATGATTGGACAGAAAACTGGGTTTAAAACTGAACAGTATTCTTCATAAAAAGAGTCTGATTCCCATAGTAAATTTCTGAATTTTATTAAAATGCCAAATGCCTGAACACTGCAATTTTTTTCTGGTTTGGGAGGAGAAACAGCATATTTCCAATGAGAACAAAACTATTGCCATAAGAGACCATGACTAAAAATGTTGTCATGGTTTCTTATGCTCCCATGCTCATATATGGGGTAGGTTCTGTGGACAAACTGCATCTCCTATGATATATCATGGACAGGGACTCCTAAGGTATAATGCTTTTCCTTACTGAGAGGGCAGAGAGCTTTGTATTGTGGTAGATGTTTTCATCAAAGTGCACTGGAGCATGTATAAAGTGCCCTCTGGCACTGAACTGCAATGATTACAGTAACATTTTAAACAAAACTATTCTATTTTTGTCCTAATATTTTGGTTTTCAGATAGATATATAGATATAGATCTGGCCTAATAATAGATCTCTCTCTATACATATATATATATCTATGTATCTATACATCTATATCTCTATATATATGTATATCTATATATATATACAGAGAGAGAGAGAGAGAGAGAGATCGATCTATTATTAGGCCAGATCTATATCTATCTAGATATAGATCTAGATAGATAAATATCTAGATATCTAGATCTAGATATCTCTCTCACTAGAAAAGTCAACATTTTAATGAAGGATTTACATAAATATGAAAAAAAATTTTGTTTAAATAGTCTTCAGGAATAAACGTTTAACTAAATTAATAGACTTAAATGTAAATGATTAAACAAAATATACTTCATTAATGCTGTGCATAGATGAAAGTGATATTTTACAGTAACTTTCTTCTGCCATTATGGGTGCAAAGTATTGCCAATAATATTGCTCTGCCCCTGTCTGGCTTAATAATTAGTAAAATTCTAGAACAACTTCAGAATCATGCCCTATCACTGCTCAAAGTCTTTCTGATTATTTTGCTTTGAAGAAAACTTTCTTTTTTTGTCTGAGGAAACTAAAGGCCATGGGAGCATACACTAAGTACAGGTATGCTGGGCAGTGTCAGCTGCAGTGAATGAAGAATTTCTTCCCACACTTTACCAAAGCCCTGCAATGACAAGCTGGTGATTGTATTACATTCTCTTTGAATGAGAAAAATATCAGGTGAGGATCCTTTCTCTCTTGGTTCATCCAGCACCAGATTGAGACAAGCTAAGTGAGCTTCTGCTTAGGGCCTCACATTATGAGGGGCCTCTAAACCGACTCCCGGGCCACGAAAGGTTGGCTGCCAGACTGGAAGTGACCACAGACCGGCAAACCATGACCCCGCAAAGTCGGGCAGAGAGACCATGACTCCTCCTGCAGGCCCGTGGCAGCCATGGTTTCTCTAGAGCTGAAGGTGTTTTTCCCATATCTCATAAGAGCTCACTTGAATTGGCTCACTGCTGTTGAATCTACATAGTGCTTTCCTTTTACAAATATGTCAGAATGCTAATTTACAATGATAGAACAAAGACAAAGAGTTATAACAACATGATAGAAGAAGCAGATCTTAGGACTACAGGTTACTAGGTAATTGTAGATAATAGAAATTTCATAGATTTCATAGATTTCATAGACATCAGGGCTGGAAGGGACCTCGGAAGATCATCGAGTCCAGCCCCCCGCCCAAAGGGCAGGAAGTCAGCTGGGGTCATAGGATCCCAGCAAGATAAGCATCCAGTTTCATCTTGAAGGTGTTCAATGAAGGCGCTGGAACCACCTCTGGTGGCAGGCTGTTCCAGACCTTGGGGGCTCGGACAGTAAAGAAATTCTTCCTTATGCCCAGCCTGAAATGATCTTGAAGTAGTTTGTGACCATTCGACCTCGTCATCCCTTGGGGCGCTCTGGTGAACAAACGTTCCCCCAGATGCTGGTGGTCACCCCTGATAAACTTGTAGGTGGCCAGCAGATCACCCCTGAGCCTGC